CCCTAAACATTTTATCATTCCAAGTTCTCTAGCGCTCTTCATCTCTCGACTCAATCTCTCCTTCTCGCCCTCTCCTTTCCTCTCGCCACTATGCTCGCCCTCTGACTCTCTCCATCTCTCGACTTGCCTTGCCTCTCCCTCTTTGTCTTTTAACTCGGTGTCTCCCTCTCGATGTTCTATTGCTTTGGTGTTTTGGTTCTTTTACTCTCAAGTAATTCCTCTTTTGGCTTAGACTTTTTTTTAGTTTATGTTGAATTTTAAAGTTAAATTATAATGTTAAATATTATGATATTGAATTAAATTATTTTTTAGAAGAATAATATTAAATTTTTTTATTTTTTTCAAAACGGGCTTTTGGGCCCAATCCTGAGTTCTGTCAATAAAGGCCACTCATTAAGATTGCCACACCCTAGTACTAAGGGTATGACTGGCATGGAATGTGAGATAAGCCTTAATTATATAAGATTAAGCTAAAATATCGATAACTAATTTATATATATAATTATATAGTTCAAAAAATTAAATATTCTGTAAAAATTTTGACAGAATCTCCCCTGTAAATTAGACCTCCCAAAATTTTTTTCAATAACAAAACTTGTCAGCCAATTCAGTAAAGGAGCATAGCTCCACACCAGCAGATTATATATCAATAAAATAAAAGTAGGATCTAACTATTGTACACATGGAGCACTAACGTACAATTATATAATACAAAATTTTACCAAAAAAAGATATTCACAATGCACTTCCTCCTTCCAAAAACAATAGGGTTCCTCAATAGTCCACAAGAGGCGCAGGTTTAGCTACAATATCTGAGACCAAATAATTTCTAGTGAGTAGCGTACCAATCAAAATTATAAATAAATAATAGGAATTTATGAAGATAGTGACTAATAAACTTAATTGAAAAATAATTGAATGAAATAATTAAACATACGTTTAATTAGCAATAAATAACAAGTTTTCTCAATAACATAACCATGAAGTTTAACAATGCTAATAGAATCACAAAAGTGTATTAAAAATTGTACCGCTCATTAAAAAAAATTTCAATAATAGTGTAATTCGATAAAATACTTTTGGAGAACCAATCTAGAAATGATAAAATTTAATTTAAACCTAGGAGGGCTTTATAAGAACGAATAACAAACGCGGACACACAGTCCACGAGGGCAAATAACCAATCAAGCGTGGACACACAATCCACGAGGGTAAGTAACTAATCAAGCATGGCTAAACGCCACGAAGCAAGCACGGCAGGAGCCATGAATCAAGCGCAGGCATGAAGCCCACGAAAACAAGCGTGAGTGCGATGCTCACGAATCACTGTCCCTCCGTTCCATGTGCGTTGGCCATCGCACGGGGCTAGCACCTCCTATAAACACCCTGCTAGCTAGGTGTACCATGGTGCGCCAAGGGCTAACGGAACTGCCATTAGCATCCAGCGTTCTAAATTCAGTCTCCCTTTAGTAAAATCAAGCGTGTATGGAGCAAGAAAAAACAATTTCAAAACTTTCACTTTCAAACACTATTCAACTATCTCTTTCCATTGCCCAAATTTATTATCACTTCCTCCATACATGAATCAGTGCATAAACATTTTTATATCAAAATAGAATTAGGTAATTAAACTACTTTTGAGAAATAATACCATTTATTATATATCCTTTTCAATCATTACTTATCAACAATATAAATTATTAATAAGATCAAAACATTTTCGTCAGTAAGACAATTAGTAGAAAAGTAAGATTAATAAGGATATTTATACAATTATAAAGGAATAATAGTACAATTTAAATAAAAGAATTTTATAAACACTCTATTAGAAATTTATCCGGAACGCTACCCACTCACCTGAGGGTTTTCAGGAATTTTATAGTTTGACCTCCTCAAGTTCTCATTTACTTTAGTGATGCCGCAAACGATCTAGCACATAAACCAGTAATCTTTGTATCATTATGATTTTCCTTTTTTTTTTAATATAGGCAAGTAAAATTAACATTCAAGCTCTTCAATAATTTTCTAAATTTCTCATTAACCCTTTAAACTCTAACTGAACCCTCCAACAACTTTTATCAAGTAGTCCAACAATACTTAGCAACATTCAACTGTAATAATTAAGTCAACTCTTATTTCAAACTTAACAAAAATTTTAATTATCATGTAGTTTAACAATTTCACTTTAGGTGCTACAAGATTCCCATGTGTAGTTCAAATTTACAAATTGAATGTAAAGACATATTCCATCAAGTAACATTTATAGTTCCTCTAGGTCCTATTATGAAAATTAAATAATCATATTTCTACCAACTCTTATGTTCAAATACCTTAAAATATAATATAAACTAAATCATATGCAACTTCATGCTTCACAATATACCAATAATCAATTTGTAAGTAGTAATTAAGAGAACACTGTCTTCATTTGAGTTCTAATTATATTTGAGTCAATTAAACCATTTGACAAATCTTAATCCATCCTTATGCCTCTTTGTAACCCATCTTCAATCATAAATCATAATAGACCATATCAACTATTCTTATCCTTCATTTAGACTTAATAAAGTACTATTCAAGCATCAGATTAATTCTTTCTCCTCCTTTGTTATTTTAAAATCTCAAGCAATAGCTCAAGTTACTGTACATGTGATCCTTCAAAGCTATATTATGCCAATTTAATAATATTCTTTCAAGCATTTTTACAAATATCTTGAGTGAGCTAAATCATGAAATCAACATTCAAATCTTTTAACAACTTCAAGTATTTAATTCCACAACCCAGATTCAGCTCAATATCAAAATAAAGTAACACCCAACATAAGCCAAACAGCACCTCAATATCCACAAAAATTTTCGACAACCAGAATTAGAAAATGAAGAACAACATCGGAAGCTAGAGGAACGGGAGAGACTGAGCTCACCACATAAACCCCTGTGATACTTACAGCTGAGAAAGGATGAAGAGATGAAGACTGAGGGCGCACAACAAAGCACCTCCCTCGACCACAAAGGCGAAATGAGACAGGGGATGATGACGGAGGAAGAAATCTCACGTTTTCAACACACTGTCGGTAAAAGTGCAGCTGCAAAGAAGGGAGTTAAAGACCACTAACAGATTCACGGGCAGCAGATGAGGAGAAAGGGAAGATGAAGCCCACACAACTCACTCTACATCAACGAAAATTACAGAGCAAAGAGGTGAGACCGAACCTGTAGCGTTGGAGATTGAAGAGGACGCTGGTGGAAGGAGGAAGAATGAAGGAAGAATGATGACTAGAGGCACAATAGTGTGATCTCGCTAGAAAGATCGAAGAGAAATAGAGAGAGAGAGTTCATGTCGGTGAAGAGAAAGACATGAAAACGATGCTCTGTTCTTTACGCGTTAAGAAGAACAAAATCTGAACTAAAAATAATTTAGGAAAATTACAAGAAAGGCACGAGAAAAATTACAAGAAAGGACACAAAATTTTTTTATAATTTAAAACAAAACAAAATCAAACTTTTGCTCAACAGAATTTGAGCTCTAGACCTTGAAAAAATTACTAGTATAAGTTTTACTTAAACAATCACTCTTCACTTATTATAAAATTAATTTAAATAAAATATCAATTGGAAGAAAATTTAATTTAATATTTAGGGTCATTACAAAAATTTAATCAAAATTTAAGAAACCGAGTTTCAGGGCTTGGGGCCCTAAAGGGATGGGCTAGCTTGTTTTTCCATCTCCATTGATGGCCCTCGTCCTCCTTCACTTTTTTGTTAATCGAAGAAAAGTGAAGGAGATTGATGTTATTAACTCACAAGATGACAATCTTTGGCTCCCAATACTGGAGAAATTGGCTTCTAATTTGGTAAAAAATAAGCTCCAACGACATTGATGAGGTTACGAAATTGAAAGGAATGAACTCCAGGTTCTTTATGATATCTCGATGGTTTCAATTTGTCAAATATGGGGCAATTTCGTCATTTGATGTGAGAAATTAATAAAGTTTAGTCCTCTGGGCCTTCAGCGTAGATTCAGGATGTCTTGGGCCCTTTTTGCAATTTTATTTTCTTGAGGGACCCTGAATGCGATTGTTCCTAAAATTTACCCCCTCTAGTCCTAACCATCTTCTAAAAAGAATTGATATTTTTTTTATAGGCCTCCTTACATAAAAAAGTAAATTATTAATTACTTTTTTAAATTTTGTACTCCATAGAATAAAAGATTATAAATGAAAAAAATATTTTAGAAGATGATGCATTTGACAAAAGTAATTTTTTTTAAATTTTTTTAAACAATGTAAATAATTTAACTAATTAACTTATTCCGATGTAGTGATTTTAATTGACTTACATATAGGATCAATGAAGTATTAAATTAGTATAGTTCTCTCTCTCAATAATTAAGACTATTTAAGGAAAACAAGTAATTAATATTTTTAAAAATATGTAACGTCTCTTATAAAAAATAACTGAAAATCACCTTTAAAAAAATAGGAAGAAAGAGATTCCGAGGAATCAGATATTGATCACCTTTTGCTATATGACGTTGCAGTCAGGGCGTTTTTGCAGTGACAATGCCATAATGGGGAGGCTTGGAAATAAGGTATATTTGGTTGTGATGCATAACAATTTTCTTAAAATGTTTTCTTCCGATGCTTCTGCCAAGGATACTGGTTTTGTTTTGGGAATTGTGGAGGGTAGGTTCTTGCGCAAATGCCATCCTCTGGGGCTCTGGGTCATTACTGGATTATGATCTTGCTGTCAATTTCTTCTGGTCAAAAATTAGTTGCATGAGTCATTGAAACAGAGAAATATACTCCAGGTCAAAAAACAATCAAAGAGATATATTACAGTAGAATGCATGGCTCCATGGATAAGTAGCATGTTGGGGGACACAAGCAAAATCACGAGTTGAAAGATGTTCAAAGATAAACAGCCTGTTACAATAAACACATGGCAAATTAAAATGCATGGAATCAAGTAAATGATTGGATCAAGCACGGAGAGACGCATCAGAACTTGGAAATGAAGTCGTAAATGAGGTTGCTGGTGTCTTCTGCTGCTTCCTGATTGTTAAAGTGAGCCACTCCCTTTTGCACAAATACCTCCTCCAAACAGGGCACATCTTTCTTGAATCCACCACCATGAATATACTCTTTCATCCCAGCAGATGTGTACACCAGGTCTAAATCGCCCGTTATGAATCTTACCGGAATTTTATCGCTGATTCCTACTCCATTCCACGGCGAGGTCAGCTCCCAGTCCCTGCAATTTCACCCAAACAATGCATGAGCCAGCCATCGCTAATTTTGACATTCTCGCGAATCCAGGCATTAATGTTAAAAGGAACATACAGGTTGAGATTTCTGTAGTAGTTCAAGCCACCAGTGAAGCCGGTCTTGCCAAATTTGGAAACATAATAAGCGAGATCTTCTTCAGTGAGCCAGGAGGGCAAGTTCTCTGGAGTATTGGGATTGATGCCAGTCCCGTACTCTCCTTTTGGCAAGATCGGGGGACCCGTTTGCCGAGTGGTAAGGATATTCTTCATCACGTATGAAGTCCCAGCTCGAGCCAGCTCTGCTTCCATCTTCCCCGGTTCCTGTCCACGTCAAAGAATCACAATCTCCATTGAAACCAAAAAAAAAAAAAAAAACACGGGAAACCAACGGCCAACAAGTAATAAAAGGTGGAAGGAAATAAAAACCTGGAATCTACAGATGTAGTAGTCATCGCCATATAAGGCATGGAAGGCATCAACGGTTCTGACTTTGGGGTTTCTGCCCAGAAAAGGTCGGAAGGGGACACTGAGGCATACATAAACTCTGACTCTTTCAGGGCGAAAGAGGCAGAGGTACCAACCCAAGATGGCTCCCCAGTCATGAGCGACGAGGAATACTTGATCCACACCCAGAGAGTCGATGAGGGCCACGATGTCACCCACGAGATGGAAGCACATGTAGCTGCTGATCGACGACGGGGCATCGGTGTCGCCGTAGCCGCGGAGATCTGGAGCCACCGCACGGTAGCCTCGAGAGCTGAGAGATAGGATCTGGTGGCGCCAGGAGTACCAAAGGTCGGGGAAGCCGTGCAAGAAGAGCACCACCGGGCCATCTCCTTTCTCAGCCACGTGCATATTGATGCCATTCACTTCCACCATTCTGTGCACAATTCCTTCCATGCTATTGATAATGATATGGTTTACTTATGCAGTTAGATGTAAGGGATATGGAAACAGCGGTTAGACGTTTATATACAACATCCAACTCTTCACTGTTTTTGTGATAATCTAGGCATTTCATCATGGAATGTTATGGAGCTTACTATATTATTGATTTTCCCATTGCAAAATTTATCTTTAAACTTTGAATTATAATTTTAACATTTTACTATGTTTGTTTGTGATAGAGTATATATTTATTTTGGATTGTACTAATGTATTTTAATTTTGTATTGTTTTTTTTAATGATTCAAAAGGACTTTTATTGTAGTTTTTAAGGGAAAAACATGATTTTTACAGCAAAAAATAAAAAATAAAAAGAGATAAATTGATAATATTTAAAATTAAAAAAATATAAAAATATATATTTTATTGGCAGAGTTGGCCCATATTACCAGCTCTACTATTTTTAGAGTTTAATGTAAAATCTATATTGTTATTATCCATCTTTAAAACAAGTTTTTGAAAATGAATTGATTGTGTAAGTGGTACAATTAAAATTGGATTATATTTGTATATAAAAAAATGGATTATATTTGATTAATGTTTTTCAGGATAATATTTTAATTGGAAGACTGCTATTAACTAAACTTGAAATTAAACTCATACGAATCACTTGAAAATACTTTTTTTAAAAAAAAATTAGGGGAACTGAAAGATTTGATTACCATATATAATGCAATCAAATCAGTTAACAAAAAAGAGTCAAAAATAGGAAGAGTATGAACAGATTTTTTGGGAATATTTCACCCTCTCTGGAGCCATGTGTGATGTCATGTGTTGAAGAAAGAAACAAAAAGAAGAGGGAAAGAGGGAACAAAAGCTATGAATATCCCTTGGCACAACAACAAGAGAGTTACATTATTGTTAAATTAAACAAGGGATTCCTTTGCCGTTCTTCCGAAAAAAAAAAAAAAAAAAACGACACTGGACACATTTGATTTGCCCGCTGTGGTGAGTATAGGGCGATTTTTTTGTTGGTTTCTAAAAACTAAAAACTAAAAACAAAGTATACATCTGTCCTCTTCATAATTCATACTATACTAAATGTGCCGGCTGATCTTCAGAATTCTCGGCCAAATTTTGTTTTTTACCCCTTAAAAAAAATGAAAAGCCTTTTGTTTGGGAACAACCAATCCCAAGTTCCTAACACATAAATAAGTCCGTAACTTCAAATGAGTTTACATCTAAATATAATAATCCCCTCCAATAAAAAGAAAAAAAAGCCCCTAGTTTTTTATTTTTTTAAATGCCATTTCCTATACCATTTGTATTTGCAACCAGTATATAAATGAGATTTTCTACACGTCTTCACATCGGTATAGAAAGTTGTCTTTGGCCACTTGTAAAAATGTCAACTTTTATAATTGGTGTAAAATTTTCTTTCTTCGAGTAGTGCTTGAAGGGAGAAAGTAAATTTCTTCTAACAATCAAATTGCTTACCATCATTGCCAATTTATCTCTCCAAGATTTTTTTTTTGGGTACAGTTAAAGTGAAAAATTTATTTCTCACTTTTCACTTTTTTGAAGTGAGAAATTATTAAGTATACCTTGCTCAACAAAAAGATAAACGGTTGCACATCATATACAACGAATGCACATGTTTTATATTTTTTTTTTTCATACTTTCTCCCTCCTACTGATTTTGCACACTTCTTTTAATTTCAAGTTAAATAATTTTTCAAAAATTATTATGTAAAAAATTAATTTAAAAAATTATATTCCATGTAGAATTCAACGTGTAGAATAGTACTTGAAACCCAAATAATTTAAATGATGCAATTTAATTATTTGTCTGAGTGTTGAAAACATATATTGTTCTCGTTCATCAGATAGAGCTCAAATATGATTGAACTAGCGTTTTTGAGTTACATATAAATATTTTATCTAGTTTCAATATTATAATTTGTAATTTTGTTTTTACAAATATCATGTGGTTCCATCCATTCAAGATTTTAGCTTTCTTTATTATTTTGGAATTGTAATCACTAACTCTTTCTTTTCTTTTCTTTTTACCAAGAATAATCACTAGCTAGCTATATATAAGTCCCATTGTATGAATGAATGATATGACCGAAATGATGGAAAAGAAGTCTCATTTTAGATAGAAAATATTAAAAATAAAAAAGCAAACATATAAATATGTACATACTTGTAAACGAGTTGCTAGCCAAATATAATCCTTTTAGAGATGTGCAATTACTTATTAGTGTTGGAATGCTTCCCTCTAATTGATTACAATCAACATCCAACATTTCTGGTAAAGTTATGTTTCGAAGAAATGAAGGAATTTCACCTATAAGAAAAAATACAAAATACTTATTTGTTGGTAGTAAGACTTCCAATTTCCTAAATTCACATACGACCATAGAAATAATACATGGAATTTGTTAATTAGAGGCTTAAAATTAATAGAAAATAATTTCATTTTTGTTGGAAATCAATTTAAATGGAACTCTTACAATATTAATTACCAATTGGGCATTAAAGTTTCTTTTAAAGAAGATATAGTGAAGAGAGATTAGGGAACTAATTTTACTTCTTTATTTATTTTGATTGAAATTAATTTTAATTATTTAAAATGAAGAATAAAATTATTCATATTTTGCATTAAAGTGATTTAATATTTACAAGGCTCTAAGTTTAAACTTTAAAGGATGAATTCATCATAGGGAATTTTAATGACCTCAAAAATTACAAGAAAATGACCAAAAATTTTTTGGATCCTTTATTGTAATTTTTGGTCATTTTCTATAATTTTTTAGGTCATTTTTGGTCAACTAATAGTCAAAGTTAACTTTTGTTAATGTTAGGAGCTATATTGCACTGTGTTCAAAATTAAAGAAACAATTAACATAATAAATGAGTTTAAGGTTTGTGATGCCACTGGACCAAAAGTTCAAAGGGTAATTTGATCATTTACTATTTTCTTTACTGTTATAGGATAGGTTGTGATGTATGTAGGTTTGTTTACCATTTTGTTTTGTTTATATATTCTTTGTCTAATATAAGATTTTTTATTCATCCATCGTAAATTTTAAAAAATTTAAAATAATTTCCAATGACATACTTATAATATAGAATTCCTGGGAAAATATATATTAAATAAATGCAAAAAACACAACTATGAACTAATTTGTATGTGAGGGAAAAACTAATGTACCAAAAGATGTGATAATTGGGCTTGGGATATATGGGTTACATTGAAATACAATGATTTAGAGGATTTGCTTAAAACAAATTCCAGAGAATCTGGCCAAAAAAATTCATATTTTATACAGTAATTATTGATATAAGATTAGAAGTAATGAAAAAAAATAGTAAAGTGTCAATCTTGTTATGATATAATTGACATTATATTAAATATATATTAACTCTTATCACATCAAGCATTAATATATGTAAACACTACTATCACCATTTTATTTTATTTTACTTTGCATATGAGATTTTTTTTTTCTAAGTAAATGTTTTTCTTGCAATAAAAGTGACATAGTACATGTTAAAGTGAATTTGGCAACATAAAGCGTCAAAGAAAACATAAGAACAGAAACAAGAAAAGCCTATTTTAAGTACATATTGCTAGAAACCTGTATACTAGAGCCAAAAATTCAAAACTCATCCATGTATATAGACATATCATGGATATGATTAAAGTTAATGCCTTCCAAGTTGTTTTCTATATTTGTAAAAAAAAGAAAAGAAAAGAAAAGAAAACTTGCCTTTGAAAAGAAAATGCAGGGAAAAATGAAAATAAAAGGCAAGAGGGAAGAATTAGAATCCAAACTATCCTTTATATTATTTTTATACTATCAGATAATATCATTATAGTGAAAACAAACATAGATATTATAAATATTTTAAAGATGTGCAGTTACTTGATGTTTTCAACAAATATAATTGAATTAACATTTTATTTCACCGTAATAAGTGTGTGTCATGAGTAAACTCATAAATCCCATGATAAAAACATGGACAATAATGAAGTGATGAAAAACTAAAGGATATTATGTCAAATTTATTTCTATTAGACATGTTACACACCCATATGGATATGGGTATATCCATGGACGAATTAGCACACTTAGCTTATAGATTTAGGAACGTTTCCACCCAAATTAAAAATTCTTTCTTCACTTTCGCCTCACTTGTGCACTTCTATATATATCATATATGTCACTTTATTCTTATTCACTTTGGGATTAGTTAATGTAATCAAGAGCTAATTGACATATAAAGCATCATATTCCATGCCTTTAAAAGTAATCTAGCAAAATTATTAATATTCACTAGTGCCTTATCAAAATGCTGGAATAGAATTTAAGACAATTTTATAATTAAAACTCTTACCTTGTAAGTTGTTGTTGGCAAGATATAATAATTGGAGGTTGGTCAAATTTTGAATGTCACTTGAAATGATTCCTGGGTTGAACATGTTATCACCTAATGATAGATTTTTCAAGTCCTTGCATTGATGCCAAATGGATGGTATTTGGCCAGACAAATCATTTACATGTACATAAAATAATTCAAGTTTTGGAAGTCCAGAACACATTTGGTAGGAGACTCCCTGATAATTGATCCCTTCCAAGTTTAATGTCTTGTAGTATTGAATTGTTAAATAATGAAGATGGTATAGAACTAACAAGTTGATTCACTCCAAGATACAATATCTTTAATTGTGAAAGATCACCAATCTCATTTGGAATGTCTCCTAGAAATATTAGGAGGGAGAAAAAAAGAGCATGTCAGTAACAATTTTATAGTTTTATAAAAATCATAAAAAACACACAATATAGAAATAACACAAATAAATTCCAAATGATTGAACTCTACTAAAACTATTTTAAAAAAAGAATTACCATGGAATAAATGTTTAGATATTAGGATAACGTATTGGGCTATTCCCCACGACCTATTACAGTTTAGTTTATTATTTTATTTTGTTTCATAGCATAGAA